GCCTTCGCCCGTCTGAAAAGAATTTTTCTCTTGCTTTTGTTCAATGTTTTCTTTGTTTTTTGTCGGGATGATCTCTCGGTTGAGTTGCAAGCTTCAGAAAGAGAGAGTTTCGAGAAACCGCCCTGAACCAAAACACAAACAGATCGTTCAGCAAGTGTTTTGGTGAGTGCTGTCAGCCCGGTAAGCTGTCGATTGACCAGAAAGACAGTGAAAAAATTGCAGTCGGAACTTAAAGATATCCATAAGAATGTGCATTTTGTGGTTTCGGCTGTTTTTCTGTGTGCACGTGCAAGAGTGTTGTGTGTGTGTGAGCATTTGCGGTTGCAAAGTGGGTTGGTTTGCGGGTGCATGTCTTTGGCTTCAGTGTGCAAGAAAAGTGTGTAGGCAAAGGGTGGTCAGGCATGGAGTCTCAGAAGTGACACCAAATAAAAAAACAGTGACCTTGCAGTGGTGTCTGTGTGTGTTTACCTCGTTTTTTCATTGTGAATGGGTGTGGTGTGTTGTGGTTTCGGCGTTTTGGCAGAGAGTCGTGTGTGTCATGGAGTGTGGTGTGTGTCATTGTGTGGGTGCAAAGTGGCTTTAGTGGGTGGTGTGCGTTTGCCTGTATGTCGGCTGGTTTCTGCTGGCTGTTCAAGTGTGGAAGTGTGCGGGTGGTGAAAGGTGTGTGGATTTGGAGACACAAAAAAGAGGGCAAGAAATCAACCCCAAAAGGTAGGGAAGCCGAAGTGACCTCCACAGTGCGAGAAAGATCGCACGCGAAATATGCAAGACTGCTTTGTCTTGAATGCCAGCTAAAGACAAGTTTAGCAAGCCCGCGTATCGACGGAGTTTTTTGTTTTCTTGAGTGTTGATGCAAACAGTATCGAATAGAAAAAATCTTGTTTGTCTGTGAGTTGATTTCAATTATTATTGAACTCAAATGGGTTCCAAAAGCAGCTCAGTTCTGGGCACCGAAAACGGGCCCTAGATTTTAGATTTCCTGTGTGAACATACAAGGCCACCCAGGTTGGAGCCGCAAATTGGAACCCAAGTTTAGGAGCCATTTTTGGGCCCAGTTGCGGCGTTTTTTTCACACACGGGAAGCCAGATCTGGCTTGCACAGCTCCTCGTTGCGAGTAAAACAAATAAGCCTCTCAGTCGGTTCCAGTCTAAGTCTTGTGTCAGTCTTCCCCCAAAATTAGAACAGCAGGCAGCAAGGCGGCAAAGTGTGAACTTGTTTGGAACCGGAACTTTCTCAAACTGTATATCTCAATTCAGAGGGTTTGGGTCCCGCAAGGGAAAGTCTCTTAGGGTTTTGCAAGCATCTAACAGTGTCATATTCATTTCCAACCATATCAGCAGGTTGGTAAAGCCGCAGGAAGAACTGCAGTTGTGTGACGTGCAATCTACCTGATTCCCTACCTGATACCCTATCAGGCGGCACGTGAGGGTGATTGAGCCAAATTTTACTTCCAAGCAGTCGCTGGGACGGCCCTTGTGGATGGACCAGAACTCGAGCGGAGAAACTGGACGAGGCTCAGTATGAACACCCCCCGCATCCAAGCTAATGAGGTGACCGGGCAACTGGTACCCGAAACGGGCAGGTTAAGCCCCTTTAGAAGCGACGCCGGAGACCGAAGCATTGCGGCTGCTCAGTGGGGACGATGGACGGTTGCAGTCTCCGGCCAAACCATTTTTGGATTGGATGCCGACTGAGCTCCAGTTGTGTTTGGTTGACATTACGGGTGGGCCTTGCGTGGCAGATTGACTGGCAGACGACTGGATAGCTTGATACCTCACTGTCCATTCGCTCTTTCGGGTTCTCGCCTGAATGGAAAGATGCTTGCAATGCTGGTCAGGATCATGCATGCTGATGAAGCATTATCGACTCTAGTGATATCCGCTGCAGCGCCCTCGCTCCACATATGTGGTAAATGCTGGTATAACTTCCTGCTCCTCCTCGTGTACTGAGAGAGGCGTTTCACCTTTGACACCTAGATTGTGCTTTGTCGGTTTGGTTTGTTTCCTTGTTGGTCCCTTTGCCGCTGCTTGTTGTTGCTTTGACTATTGCGTTTCACCCTTTACTTGAATCGCTTACTTCGCCACTGACGTGGTAAAGAAGCTCGATGCAAAACAAAAGACTGCAGTTGTGTGACGACCTTCTCATAGTGCGAGACAAAACCAACTTGTTGATCAGGTGTAATGTACTGCCCGAAGGTAAGCGTAATGTCCACCAGCAGGAATTCCACCAGCCGGCTTGCCAGTATGGTGTCTTCCTACTCTTCAGCGGGCACGCTGACCCATCTGCAGGTCTCCAACCACCTTCCTGCGGCGCTACAGAGCGGTCTAGTTTGCAGAAGGGTCTCGGTTGGACCCTCAGGGAGGTGCAGCGAGGGCGGATCGTCTTCCAAGCTCGCCAAACAGGGTACTGTGCGACTAAGACTAGTCTGCCGACTTTGATGCCCGCAGACTGCGACATGGTCTCCACTTGCATTGACCTGCGGCGACTCAACTCCTGCATGGCCCTGAGAACTTCGAACCCAGCGAGTTCATCCGTCACAGGCTGTGGAAAACTCTGCCCCAAGGGGCCTAGTGTTTCCGGCCGACCAGGGAAGTCTCCAACTTTCCCGAAATTCTGCCTGAGGACTGCCTGAACCCTGTCGAAGGTCAGGTCCAGATTGTTGGAAAACTCGCGTCTCGCGAGTGCAGCTTGGACATCCCGAACATTAAAGTCCTCCACCAGCCATTAGTCCAGCACCGCCTGGTGTCGCTGTGCTCACAAGCGGCCCTTCTTCCCTTCTTCACCAGCGCTTCAACCCGCCTTCTTGCCTGGCCCGTCAAGGTGGAAGAAGATGGCCTGGTCCGTAAAGCACACCCTGCAGACGAGGCAGAGAGCTCTCTGGAGCCCGCGTTGCAGGCCACCACAGAGCCGCTTGGCGGTGGCGGTGGTCGGTTCAGCACCTCGGCCGTCACGTCGCCGCTGTTGACGGTGGATTCGAGGCCCCTTTTGAACGCAAGAAACAAAAGCCAGAAACGAGGATTTAGAATGATTTCCGGAAATGCACAAGAAGCCAAAAAAACAAGAAACGAGAGGGTGGATGAATTCTCTACAATTTTTGAAGTGACTTATTATTTCTGCTTTTCGTATATGCAAAAGTCAAAATCGATCAGCCTCAAACCATCAAGGTAGAAGACGCCAAGCTCTAGAAGATGCCAAGCTCTCGACCAATCGTGTTTCCCGATAATTCATCGCCAATACCCAACCAGGGTCTAACCTATGGCCTAATGTTTTTTCCTATGGCCTGATTCTGCAATGAGAGACTTTCTCTTTTTTTCGCGCGTGTTAGGCCGGAATATATTAGGCCACAGGTTAGGCCCATTGCAAGCTGTATTGGCTGCGCTTTGGAAGTTTAAAAACCCGCAGGTGCTAGGAGAGAGCAAGTTTTTTTTTTGAGTTTTCAAGAAATCTTCATTGCAATGCGCAGGGCCTCTCCCCCGCACTTCTTTTCAGCAGTTTCAGTCTTTCCAGATGGGCGTGGGTCGCACGTGCCGCCTGTGTGTTTTTTATCACTGCAGATTGGTCGCGCACTCTCTGTTCTCGAACATTAAAGTGGGGAAGTGGCACTTGCCTGGAAGCGGAATGGGGGTGGTTGTCAGCGGCAGCTTTCCAATGAATCTTCTTCCGACAAGACGTGCTGATGCGTGTCTTAGGCCGTGGAAAGTCCAGGTTTCGAGAGCAAGTCTGTAAAGGTGGAGAGTGCGTGGTGTGAGTTGAAAAATGCTCAGTTTTTTAATTTTTTTTGTCTCTGCTTGCCCTCAAATCTTTTGTTTAAGTTGGTTGGAGATTTGGGATTTCCAACAAATCAACGAGACTCTGCAAATTTGGACGGTTGTTTTCGGTCGTCGCGCATGCGGCATGAATACTCGTCCTGCAATTGATTTCTGTCCAACCGGCACTGTTGAAGGCTTTCAAATACGCTTGTTTCAAGTGTTGACTACTTGTTATCTTCTGCCCTTGCTCTCCAGGCCTGTGTTGGTGAGCGACTTTCCAGGTCGCTGTGGATTGGTGTCCTGGTCATGTTCTGTTGTATCGAGGGGGTCTATGGTGTGCAACCTGCCTACTAGGGAAAACGCGCCTTCCCGACACTGAAGCCATAGTGGAAGTGTGCGGTGGCTTGTGGAGCGACACTTCTTGCTTGTGGAAAACACGCCTTCGAAGGGCTGTGTAGAATATGCCGGATAGAGGCAGGGTAGTTTTGTGGATGCTTGTCAGACTAGACTACCTCAGCTCAATCATGTTGGCCGCCTTACATCTTGCAATTTTACATCCAGGATTGTTGGGTTTATGAAACCCTAAACATACGATCAAAAGAGCCTCAAACCCGAAAGCCAGCAACCCTGAACCCTAGGGTTGAGGATTTACTTGTTCAAGCATGTTCCGTGTGCTTCTGGGGCCAATGAGGGCACTTCCCGGAACGCTGTTGAGAAGCTCAGCGAAAGCTACACGGACGAGCCACTTTGCCAGCGCTCAAGCGTGTTGGCTTTGGGGCGTAGAGTGGCTAAGAGTTCACTTAGGTGCTGCCGGGTTTTATGTGCTTCAGCATGGGCTACAGTGACGATTTGCCGACTTCTAACCTTATCGAGCCATAGCCCTTCCGGTATCTTCAGTATATATCAGGAAGAAACGATGCCAGAGGTGTAGAGCTTGAAGTTCAGGACGAAGTGTAGTGGTACAGCACTCATTGTTTGCAGAGGAGGGCTGCTTGGGCTACTTGGATTCTTCCGGTCTGCGTCCGTCAGCCTCAATGGCTTGGTCTTGGTCTGTGAAATGACACGTTGCTGTGCCCTACGACACATGTTGCACCATACAAAGTGCTGTGCTGCGAATAGCAAGGCTCAAGGCAAAGACGGCACTGTCTTTGCGAGGTAGTCTGTAGCCGCCAGATCCGGACTCGCAGGGGTGTGTGGCCACCGAATCTACTCGGCCGCAATCGTTCTGCACGCCATAGGCGCCAGAGATCATGGAGGTAGTGTCGGTGCAATCGGCATTGTCGACCGGCATGCTGCCCTATCAGACACCGATCGCAGAGGCTCCATCCCCTCCGACTGCTGTGCCCCAGCGTGCCTCAGCCGGCATGTCGGGTGCAGGTGGCGGCAGCGCGAGCAGAGCAGGCCGAGTGGTGGGCGTTGCGGCTCTGATGGCTTCCTGGCGCATAGCAGCTCGCAGGGGCAAAGTCGCTCGAAAGGCTGATGGGCAGCCCTCCTACCATGACAATCGGTGCCTGCCCGACGGCACTCCGCTCGAGTCCGCTGGCAACATGTCCATGCGGCCCGAGCGACCACCGAAAGAACCCTTCGTCGCCCAGCCACTCTATCCCCCTTGGGTTTTTTTTAAAATTATTTTTGTTTATATAAACCCAAGAGGATATTAAGCACACCATTTTTATGAAGGTTCTAAGGGGAGTGTAGGCCACAGTCCTACGAGCAAGCCCTGGAGGGATGCCTACCAGACGGCACGCCTCTCCCGAAGTCCAGCACCTACAGCGCGCGCAGTGAAGCTCTGGCGGAAGCAACACAAGGTTCTTAGGGATTCAGAGGGTTTAGGGTTTAGGGTTTAGGGTTTAGGGTTTAGGGTTTAGGGTTTAGGGTTCTTAAACAGGGACCTTATTCAGACCTAATCCTCTCCCCTAAAGGTTGCCTGGCAGATGGCACGCCGTTGGGGCAGGTCGGCAACCGATTCATCAAGCCCCAGGCGCCAGCACCCCTGCCACAAGCCAGCCGATTCATCAAGCCCCAGGATCTTCCAACGGCCGCCCCGACGCCAGGCAACCCGTCTGGTTGGGGTTTGGGGTTTAGGGTTTTGGGTTTAGGGTTTAGGGCTTAGGGCTTAGGGATAAGGGGCCCCGATGCCAGGCAACCAATCTATCAAGCCCCAGATGCAAGCAGCAGCATCACCGCCACGAGTCAGCCGATTTATCAAGCCCGAGGATCTTCCAGCACCTACGCCGTCACGGGCCGCTGTGATCAGAATTCAGCTGGCCATAGGGTAAGCCTGCAAGTTTTTTTGTTTTTATTATTTCTGGTTTCTGGGAAAGCACCGGTTTGCTCGAAAGGGACAAGGAAAGGAGCGTTGTTCTTTGTTCTTTTGCTCGCTGTCCATTGGCTAAGTTAAGGCATCGACTTCCCCAAGATTGCCGGCTCCGACGGATCCACTAGAGGCTGCCCGTAAAGGGCCGGCCGTTCCCATTCAAAGTGCCGTGTCTCAGAAGAACTTCGTCAGGGTGTCTCTGGAAGGCGCCCTATCTAAAGTCGAAGCAGCGCTGCTTTTTCTAAGCTGGGAGAGAGCAGCGCAGTAGATACGAAGCCTCCACCTGCATAAGATTTGGCTACTCATGTCCAGGATAGTTGGCTCCAGTGCTTTTAGGGTCATGTTCTTGTCAGCTGTCAGTCGAAATTGCGAAATCCAGACAGCCCAGGCACACCTGGTGACACTCCCATCCATGCGGACCAGCAGAAGGGTAGGACAGCAGAGAAGAACACAGATGCTGCTACTGTTCCTGCTCTGTCGGAGGAACCAACAAAGAAGGAGATGGAAGCTGCGATCGCAGCTCTGAATGCAATGATGGCGCTCCCCAGTGCGACGCCAGCGGCGCCGGAGCACAGGACTCCTCTCGTCGCAGCAGCCTTGGTCTCTGAGTTTGAAGACACCTCCGCTGCTGTTGCAGAAGCCGTCGTCGAGTCTGAGGGCACCTCTCTTCTAGATGAAGCAGTCGTGGTCTCCGAGTTTGATGACGCCTCCCTACCAGAAGCAGAACCCGTTGTTTCCGAGTCCGGGCGCGCAGCCCTGCCATCTCCCAGCAAGAAGAGTGCCGTTGTTGAGGAGGTTGTCGCCGCCATGAGGGAGATGCGCGAGGAAGGTGACACCAAGGTCGAGAAAGAGAAGGATGTCCCCAGTGAGCCGGCATGGCAGGTTCCTGAGGGACTGGCCGCCGCCGCGACCCTTGCTGCCTCCCTCGTCTTTGTGAACGCCTCTTTCTTCTCCGATGTAGGCACCGAGATCAGATCGAGCCCAACCCCGCCTGTGGCAGCCGTCCGACCAGCATCGGCGCTTCCATCAAACCAGGGGCCAACAGGGGCGACGTTTACAGGAGTTTGAGTTGCGGAATACGGTGCATGGAAGATCCTGCAGTGCACTTGAAGTACCGAGAGCCCTGTCATTCCGGAGCTTTGGGACCGTCTAAAACAACTCATAACCCGAAGCAAGCCTTTCATGAACTTTCAGCTTGCGGTCGTGCAAGGCTGCAGAATCTCCCCTCACGAATCCGCTTTTAAGGGGCTACACAGTGCGGCCAGCAAACGCTGGCGGCGGCCGAACGTAGCCTTTGCTTGCGGCCCAAACCCTGGCAGTTATGTACTTTACGATTTAGGGTTTAGGGTTTAGGGTCAGGGTTTAGGCCCCTCGTAAGTCCCTTCATATTGGGCAGAAGATCCGACGAAAGAAGGCTGTAGGTGGTTGCTGCCGCAAGTACACAATTCTACCGCATCGGTGAAGACACCCATGCCTACCTCCAGCTCACGTAATTCAGGCCGTCGTTGAACGAAGATGTGCTTTGCAGAGAGAGCAGAGCACATCGCTGTCAGGAAACTACCCAACTGAGACTTGCAGAAAGAGTCATGTTGACACCTCTCCTACCATTGCAGTTGACAATGACCCCAGGCAGTAGCTGCGCATGGGTTTGTCAGGCGCTTTGGCATCTGAACTTGAATATTTTTAGTCCCGGGCCCAGGGGTTAGAAGTCATCGTTGCCTTCATCAGCGTAGAATAAACCCTAAACCCTAAACCCTAAACCCTAAACCCTAAACCCTAGACCCTAGACCCTAGACCCTAAACCCTTAACCCCAAACAACCCTAAACCCTAAACCCTAAACCCTAAACCCTAAACCCTAAACCCTAAACCCTAAACCCTAAACCCTAAACCCTACCACCGGATCCCTCAGCTCCCGCTACATCTGAGGAGCATCCCCCGATGAAGCACCGAGCTTCACAGTGCCAGAGACGCTAGAGACGCTGCTTGGAGGTTCATGGGTACTTATAACCGCAATTTGTAAATCTACTTATTGCCGACTTAGGGGACTTAGGGGGCTTATAAGTACAGTTATACTTGGGGTTCCAACCCTAAACCCTAAGCCCTAAACCCTAAACCCTAAACCCTAAACCCTAAACCCTAAACCCTAAACCCTAAACCCTAAACCCTAAACCCTAAACCCTAAACCCTAAACCCTAAACCCTAAACCCTAAACCCTAAACTACACCCTAACCCCATAAGTACAGTTCTAATTGGGGTTATAAGTGCCCTGAGCCTCCAAAGTGCAAGCTTGTGGTGGGGCTGACAAGGTCTGATCCCGAGCTTGGCGGTTAGGGTTTAGGGTTTAGGGTTTGGGGTTTAGGTTTCGGGTATAGGGCTTAGGGTTTAGGGGTTTAGGGGTTTAGGGGTTTATTTGCGAGTTTGCAAGGTGTGTGTGGCCGGAGGGTTGGCTTGCAGAGCCATCGGTAGTTGATTAGCTGGATCTTAAAAAATGTATACTTGCTGCAGCATGGTTTCTGACCGCTTAACTCCTGCATCCTCATCTACACCACAGCAGCAGCAAGAAGAAGAAACAGGAGAATGAAAAGAATAAGAACATGAATAAGAAAAAGAAGAAGAAGAGAAGAAGAAGAAGAAGAATAAGAATAAGAAGAAGAAGAAGAAGAAGAAGAAGAAGAAGAAGAAGAAGAAGAAGAAGAAGAAGAAGAAGAAGAAGAAGAAGAAGAAGAAGAAGAAGAGGAAGCAGAAGAAGAAGAAGAAGAGACTGCAGTAGGTCAGGGAGCGCTGCAGAATGTTCGCCGAGTCTTTTTGGAAGGGACAGGGCGCATCGCATGTCGCACTGCACATTCTGCCAACTCGACTGGGGTTTCCAATCATAACCATCCCTCCGTGGTGCCGGTACCACAAGCCTCCAATCATCTTCTACTTCAGAGTGTGGATGAGGGCGAAATCCGAGCTCCTCTCGAATCGAAGGGTTGAAGAACCGATGCCCTGCTGGGTATTTCCCAAGACCGGGGTACCTGTAGTATGCTCCCAGCAACATCATGAGAATCCCTGTTCTGGGAAACCTCCCAAAAAGGTACCCCGTAAGAGGGGAGTCCCGTGTGTTACTCCTCAACAGCACGCAGGATTTCGCTGAGCTGAACCGTGGCTCGACACAGCGACGTTGAGCGCGGTCGTTGTGAGGTTGCGTTGCAGCTGTCCCGTCGTCTTTATGCAAAGCGGCTCCAGAAGTACACTCCACCACTTCACGAGTGGTGACGAACAGGAAGTTCCCATGCCCAAGCCTAAGCCAGATCCCGCTGTGCAGGCGAGCGTGTGTAGAAACCGCCTTTCGGTTTGCTGGCTTTGGCTTGGAGCACGCCACTTGCGGGCTTACCATGCAGATGCTGGCCGCTTCCTTGAAGGCAGAGTCACGGCTCCTGGCTTCGATTCCTCTCTGGTGCAAGCAGCTTCTGCCAGGAGCCCAAGCTCGGGGCTAGCCCGATGCCCATGAAGTTGCTGCGAAGGGGCTGTCTTGGCTTCGAGCCCAGATCCTTGGTTGTTTCTTTTGTGGCTGCCATGTCCCACTTTGGCCAGTGAAGTGAGGTGAGTCGCTGCGAACGGATGAGATGACAGAGCCTGGTATTATAAGCACGGGCAAGCTTTGAGCTTGGGGGAGGACGGTTCTCTCTGAGGCCACCACCAAGGAGCCTCTCGTCTGCCTCCATCCTCTCAGTCTGTGCCAGAGCCCCCAACGCGAGCCCATCTGGACCGTCCTGCCCGAACTGTATCAGACTATCCTGGCGCAACCTAGGTCAGCATGAGTGATGTTCAAGTGTGAGACGGGGAAAGGCCTCCTTCCTCGCTCTCCGATTGCGCTCTGTCCTCAAGCCTCGCAACCCTCACCAACAACGCCTGCCCAAATTGCAGCCTTCCGGGGATAGGGGCGGTAACTCACGGGGGTGTGACGAGTGAAAAAAGGAAAATCTTCTCGGGTTTGGGGTTACGGGCTTAAGAGTGGTGATTCTTAAGTACCTTCGGACGTGCGAGTCATCGGCCCAGGCCTCGAAGCAAAGTGTAGCATTCGCCCTCCAATTCAGAGCATGCAGACCCTGCAAGACACAAGCGAGTCGACGTTACAGACTGCGGACCATGCGTGAGAAACACCTTTCTCGTAGGTCGTAGGTCCCACAGTGCGCAGCTGAACGGTCGAAGCTTGGCACGTTCAAGGCGTGTTGGTGCCGTTGGCAGTTAAAGGCAGACCAAAAAACCCTTGCAACCCAGAAACCCCAGGTGAGCATCCGTAAACCCTAAACCCTAAACCCTAAACCCTAAACCCTAAAAACCTAAACCCTAAACTTGCCACCAAGAAGCCCCAAGTGACCATCCGCAGACTTAAGAGCCGCAACGCTTGGAGCCGCAGAGTTGAGCATGGCTTGTCTGGAGCCCAGAGGGCTTCAGGCATGGTGCTCTTGACAGTTTCATGGCCGGCACGCAAAACATCCCAAAACTGAAGCTGAGGTTGGGTTTAGGGTTTAGGGTTTAGGGTTTAGGGTTTAGGGTTCAGGGTTTAGGGTTTAGGGTTTAGGGTTTAGGGTTTAGGGTTTAGGGTTTAGGGTTTAGGGTTTAGGGTTTAGTGGGTGCGTCCTGGTCTGTTTGTGATGCAAGCCGCGCACAGCAGCTGGTTCAGAGCTAGGCTCTGTGTGACCCGACACAGTTCTTGTTCCGCTGCAGGAAGATTGCAATCAGTTGCAAACACCCCCTCCTCTCAGTTTGCATCTTGCACACAATATGACAGCACAGGACTTATGCAGTATCCCAAGACCCGACCCTTAGCTCCCCCCCCCCCCGCTTGATCTGTGTGGGGCTGCCGTGGAGATGTACAAAAGTGCTGCCAGAACGCTCACAGCTCACACACACTGCCACAAAGTTAGCACCAGGGTCGAAGTCACCATGCCGAAACTTTGACTATCGTGTTGCCAGAAAGCTGTGCCCGGCTCAAGCCATGAACAGCTCCTGTTTTCAATGCTATTATTTGGGGCAGGATAGCGCGTCCGCTCCGATGAGCTAACGTTGAAGGCCGTCTTTCAGTGAGACACGTGTGTTGAGCAAAGGGTCGTGTGCGAACTTTGTGTGGTTCTGGGCGCAGCAGAGTTGCCATGTCCGCGCCTCTGAAGCGACTGGCGTGTGTGTGATCCGCAGCGTCTTTTCCGAGTCATGGTAGTATGTTTGTGCAAAGTGGTTGGTCATTCTCGGCTTTGCGTTCCTTCGCTGTGAGGCTTTCGCCTCTAATGGACTGACCTGATGACTTGCATCGTGACAGCAAGGCCCCCGCAGTACTCTGAAGCCAAGCATTGGCTCTGCAGTCCAGTTGGTGGTGAAGTTTTAAGGGATGTTCCGCCTTATGCTGGCAGTCCTTCATAGGGATCATAGTACCCCCTATTATAATATACCCTAAACCCTAAACCCTAAACCCTAAACCCTAAACCCTAAACCCTAAACCCTAAACCCTAAACCCTAAACCCTAAACCCTAAACCCTAAACCCTAAACCCTGAACCCTAAACCCTAAACCCTACACCCTACACCCTAAACCCTAAACCCAATTCTAAACCCTAAACCCTAAACCACCCTAAACCACCCTGAACCACCCTAACACCACCCTAAACCACCCTAAACCCTAAACCCCAAACCCCAAACCCGAAACCCTGAACCCTAAACCCTACCCCCCCCCCCCCCCAAATAAAGGACTGTTAGTGACTGTTAGTATAAGGGGTGAAGGGTGCCCAAGTAGTCCTTCACAGGGATTAGATAGTACCCCGATGATAATCCCTATTAAGGACTGTTAGTGTAAGGGGGGAAACATCCCAACCTGAACCTTTAAACCGTAAACCCTAAACCCTAAACCCTAAACCCTAAAACCCTAAAACCCTAAAACCCTAAAACCCTAAAACCCTAAAACCCTAAAACCCTGAAACCCTAAAACCCTAAAACCCTAAAACCCTAAAACCCTAAAGTGAAGTTGCGGGCAACTTGTGCCTGTGGCAGGCTGGGCCTTTGACCTGGAAGCCTCGGGCAGGCTTTTGGAGC